TCCTTACAGTCTGCCTTGTCCACTACAGTCTCTAATATGTCACTGATTTTTATACTCATTGCTGTTTTCAAAGGAGATATCCGAGATATGGCTTCTTTATTTTTGTTAAAGGTAATTGTAATTAGTAGTAATAATAAGCATTGTGGTTGCAGTTCTTATTTCATTTCCTCCTCCTCCTCCTTCTCTTCCTCCTCCAGGAAATGTTGGGGTAGATTAATATACAGGATGATTCTTGCTAGATAAGGAGCAGTGTTTCTCCTAATATGCAACTAACTTTAAAACAATAAATATCGCAGCAACAGCAGGTGTTTATTAACTATATTATATTAAACCCTACCTGTATTTATGACTGCTGGCTTTTACAAAGTACAATTCTTCAGGCCTATATAGTTTTTACTCACATGGTCTCTGATGCAAACTCCACCTCCAGCACCTCTTGTGTCTGTAAAAGATGAATTAATTCTGAGCATGTGAAGTCGTTTTCTTTCCCACTAGCTACTCTTGTCAGTGATTATTCTGGCTCCTCAAACAGCTCTTAAAATCCAGTTTCCCTCTTCTTTTATGATATGCTGAGATGAGTGAAAGCAAATGAGTTAGAGTGATTTTGGAAGTCATTTTCCCTGCACTGGTAAATGCCTGCCCTCAGCTGGTGGACAGTAACTGATTGCACCTGTCCATTCAGTTGTGAGGCAGAGTAAAATGGTCACTTAGGTAATCCCCAGCCCCACACCTGCAATAGCTGTTGGCTCAAAACTCTGTCTAAAGCTTTGTCCTTTCTGGTGAACTTTACTCTTGGATAACACAGGGCATTCGCAGTTCTCCTAATTGAAAGGACTACCGTAATGGTAATACTGCATTGATTAGTTATTAGACAAATTAAGAGATTTCCTGCCAATAGGAGCTCTATGCAAGCTGAATGGTGTAACATATCCCGTAAGAAAAGCCTGTGAAACAACATACCTACACAAAACATCTAATCTGGAAACGCAGATCCCATGCTGAAGTCATCACATATGTGTTCAGGCACACTGAAGTGATGAGATAGTCACAGTAATGAGGCATCTACAGGTTTTATCATCTCAGCATGGATCTTCGTGTTACATTCAGGTATACATGAAAAAATTACAGGCCAAAAAGTATTAGTATTAAAAGTGAGTACACCAACAGTTGTGCCAGAGTGTGCCCAAACTCACATTGCTGGGCCCAGGAAAAGAAATTCTGACAGAGACTCTCTGTGCAATGGCTATGGGGTCTACTACCTCTAACAAAAGCAATTTGAACATCAGAGCCAGGAAAGAGACAAAAGGAAATCTGGTATCAAAAACCCTGCTAAGCTTAAAGAGCTAGTCAGAACTTTCAGGATAAAGTCCAAGGTAAGGAGTACTTTCTGCTGAGAAAGGTTTGGAGGGTACTTTACAAGGTGCATGAAGTACAATAGGAAATAAACCCTTCCACTTACAATCGCTCTGCAAGAACTTATTTAGCAAGTAATACCAAAAATATATATCCTTCCTACGGCCAAGGCAGTTTTATTCCTCACCTGTGGATTTAGCTGAAAAGTCAAGTGAACGGTTTCTCCAAGCTGGATTTTAGCTACATCAAAGAGGACAGTGAAAAGGAGGTCATCTTTGGTAACTGCATTTTCATCATAGACTTTCATCTCCAGGATGTTCTGGGAACACAAGTAGAGAATCAGGAACATTTCTATTCTGAGCCCTTGCGGCTGGAGGAACAGTATCACGTGCTCAGCATATTAAGGAAGACAGAAAAACAGTGGAGAAAGCGAGTCCAAAATACTCATCCACACAGATCTGAAGAAATATGTTCTGAACCTTGTATAGCTGATTTCATTGCTGATTTTCCTCTGCAGAGCAGTTTAAATGACAAGGGCTAATAAAATCATTGAATATGCAGTTTCCATATCGAGAAATAAGGTTTGACCTCTAATTTGGTTTGAAAGCCCCACTTTTCCCTAATCTATAGGAAATTACCTAGCAGTCAAGACTGTATTGCTAACTGCAGTATACAGATCCTCAGATGTAAGCAGTGGTTAAAATACATTAAGAAAGAATCATATAACTATTGCTTGATTACATATTTCCTGTAAATTATTAAACAGATCACATGGTGATAATCACCATGTAATCAATGAAAATCGCTATGTTTTTGTTAAATTGCTGAAGAAAGTACTCAGAAAGCAGCAGAACAAAGGCTTGTTTCCATTGCATTTATATCCTACATCTCTCAAATTCCAGTTCTTCCCTCCTACTGACTGCACAGTGCTCCTCTTCTCCCTCTTATATCATCTGCCTGTAACAGCACATTCTGCAGCCAGTTTGTAGCTATACCTGCGCTGGTTGGCTCAGAGATGCCTCACAGAATGGCTAAGCAAGTTAGTGTTCACAGCTATTTTTTCAGTGGGGAAATAATTCAGGTCTCTCTCCCTATAGCCAGTAGCTTTTCAAAATGAAAACTCTTAACCCAGAGATTGCTACCTACCTGTCAGATTTAACTGAAACTTGCCGACGGGTTCAATGCTTCCTAAGGACACGCAAACAGAACTGTATATGGTCTCATGTGCAAACATATGCACAAAAAGAGTGATCACATGAGCTTTGTTGCCTTAAAAATTAAGGATAAATTGCAGGAAGGACCATGACTAAACTGGATAGACAACTGAGTAGACAAGTGTACTTAAAAGAAGATCATCCAGAATCCAAATATTCAGGGTAATTTTGACATCTCTCATTTCTGGAAGAAACTAATAAGTGATGGATGGCAAGCAGTAGTAAACCTGAGTCTGCAGTTTGTTGTCAGAAGACAGAAAGGCTGCTGCTATGTGGGAATCAGCTGAACATGTCCAAGCATCAACATTATGTTCTTTTCCAAAGCAATAGTGTATTACGTGATTTTACTGAGCTCTAGCTCCCATATTCGGGCAAAAGGAATATCTGAATTACACGCATGACAGGCAAGGAGAAAATAACCAGACCAGCAGACTCCAACTCCTCTCACAGTGTAACAAGCAATCTAATTGCAGTGTATGTGAAGAAGTCTGTGAGAGGTTTAACTTAGTTTGTTGAGTCCAAACAGCAGTGAGGCTGGAGTGTCAGACAATGGTTTGGCTGTCCTGAATCCCCAGGACATATTTTGTGCAGCCCACGCTAAAGCCACAGCAACTACTAGTGCCACTGCTGTTGCTACAGTGAAAACTTTTGAGGCTAAAGCCATCTGTGCTGTCACCTACTGCAGAGGTACTTCCAGTTTCAAAGTAAACATAGGGTTATTCCAGGATTGGCTGGTTTGAGCACCTTCCTGTGGCCACTGGCTCCAAGATATTTTTCATCCGTTACGTGTGGTGTCACAATTTTGAAAGACCTGTCAGCCATAAGGCAGTGCAAGGCAACAGTATTCTGGTGTAGGAGTTACAGATCAGTCAGTGGGTATTTGTTCCCACACTGTAATGTTTGTAGCTTGCCTGTAATGTTTGTAGCTTGCCTTTATACCCTCATGCTAAGCCTGCAGGGCTTGGTGAAGTCGTGCCTCTGTGGTGCTTTGAAAGAAGCTGGAATTTTTAGGTTTGCAAGGAAAACACTGGCCATAGGCCACAGAATGGTAGATGTTTTAAAGTTGAAAGCTGTGCTAAACAGGATAAACACCACTTAACTGTATGGAACAAGGTGAATCGGAGGGCTTGTAGTGAGGGCAACTTCTATAGACAAAGGGAAGAAGGTCACTTCTTTCATGGAAAAACTGTTCACTGCAGGCCCTTTGGCCTAGCAACACTTTGAGCTATTCTGAATGTCCTGTTGCTGTAGTCTACTGATGTCCAAGAGAGCCAGGGAATTGGCCTGCTTTGGCACCTAGTAGCGATGTTTTTGCCCCACTCTGTTATGAGCACCAGCAAATTAAGGAAACAAGTCATAAAGCAGGGCTTGATCGCCCCAGGCATGAAATAAGTTTGATTTAGGCCCTATCGCTTATCTTTGTGGTTGCTTAGACTTTGAAACAATGAGATGAAGAACAGATGGAGGCGCTCATTTTTGGAGGAAGTGGTTGGTGGGGCTTGCAAAGCTTCTTAAACTCTCACATTTCTATGTCAAGGTAAAGGCTTTGCTATTTTTCTCTTGTAATCTTTAAAATGCTTTTTTTACTCAAGGTAGTTCTGAAGGACCAGTTTAAAAGTACAGCACTGTGATTCTTCTGCTACTTAGCTTATTAATATCTTTCATGCTGTTCAATTTACTCTGAAATTCTTACTTTTAGTCTTAAAAAAACAGACTGAAAAGAAGTTTAAAATGATGGAACATTTTATGAATAGACGTGGAATATCCTAGTGATTCGAGCTTTTTTATATATTTCAAAACAAAATTTAAATTTCTACTGCATCTTACTCCATATCCCATGCCCACACCCTTCACATATGTATATTGTTTAGGTACCCTGGACACTGATAATACAATGAGATCTTTGCCCCAAAAGAAAAAACAAATGCACTCTGCACCTTACTTTTACTTGGCTCTGGATCCTGAAGCAAAATGTTTCATTCCACACTGGATCTTTGCAGTTCTTGATGGTTTTGGTCCGGACAGTCTCAGAGGAGGCAGTGGGCAAGGAGAGGCTTACATAGCAATCAGTTTGACTAACTGTATTTAAAAAATATATATATTGTAACTAACAAATTTTCATTAAAATCTTAGAGCGTAGGCTTATAGCACTGTATAGACAGAAGGTTGCATAAAGGAGATACTGTTTTTCATATGACTTGTCCCACATCACTCAGTAGCATTACTACTTGTTCTGGTGATGAGGCAGAAGCTCTGCTCCTAAATGGAGATTAAAGTTAACTCAGTAAGGGAAGCTAATATGAAAAAAAAAAATGCAGAGATAGTTTTATTTAACAGAATACATTATTTCAAAGCAAATCAACAGAGCTCTGTGATAGTGAAGAAGGTGGTTGACATTTTATGAAAACTTTTTTAAAGAGCAAAACATTGAGTTAACTCTGAGCATTTTCTGGTCACTACTCTCTAAAAAGAAATCATACCAAAAGCAAGTGGCTAACTGTCCTTAGCTTTTGAGAGGGGAACAGAAAACCTGATGAGGGGCTGAGTACAAAGAATCTTCCCTCTCTGGTCTGCTACCTACACACAGCTGTAGCCCAGACCTTGCAATGAGGGAACAGACAACATCTTCCAACATGCAATCAGTGGGTAAGCTGCTGGAGAAGGTCTCACAGCACGTTGGCTCTGATCCCAGCTCTGTTCCAGCCTGCTAAGTCACCTTGGGAAACTGCTTCCACTTGAATTTATCTTGATTCTCTATCTGCATTTCCTCATCTATAAAACTGCAATAATAACCCTTCCCTTTTTTGTAATCTGCTTTGACATCCCATGATGAAAAATATACAAATAATAAATGCTACTATTATTATTTCCACAGGACCCACCAGAAGAGAGTTCTTTATCAGTAATTATGTTTTTCTTTCTCTATGAGTCCCTTGATTCTCATTCTACATTTTCTTTAAACTTGCAGTGTTACTTTTGTGAATAGGTAGGACTTAAGGAATGTCTAGAACCATTTCGCACATGATTTACCTTTTAACTCTTCTGATAGAATCTGAGCATGAAACATCTTCCAGTTTTTCAGCGTGCGTTTGATAGTTTACCCTTTACATTCCGCAGCAGGGAAGAAATGACTTGAACATGACAAATGCAGACTTCCTTTTTTTTTTTTAATGTAACATTACACTATTTTTAGACTTACTACCATAACTTTAAAACATAAAACATGTGCAATGTACCTTTAGGTAACAATTCGTTGGTCAAGGAGGTTATAAAATCATTTCTTTAGCTTTTTCACAACAATACTTTCTATAGTTCTTTGCCCTCCGTTGACTTTTAACAGCCAAAAAAGAAAGTACTGACTTTGCACAGTTACGTCCTCAGACAGTGCCGGAGAAGCAGATAAAAATGGGAATAGCTGTTTCTTCAATATCCTTACCTAACAGTTACTGATGATTAATAAATTTGTATTTTCAGATAGTTCACTAATTTATGTTCTGCGATATCTCTTTGCCATATATATTACCTAAGAATCCTGTTTCACAAGACAGGCATTTAATAATTCTAGAATATCAAAGAAGCTAGCTCTAAACTTGCGAACTTCTAATCTTGCATCTAGATAGGGCTGTGGTGAAAGGCTAATTCAATCCTTCATCCTCTCTAACACAGCAAACCTACAGCAAGCTTCAGAAGTCAGTCTATTCTATAAGAAGTCTGTTCACCTTCAATAAGAGCAAACGAAAGCCCCACAACTTGATGATTCATACATAACAGCAGCTTACTCGGTAGGCGGTGAGGCTGGGTCCCAGCATAGCCCAAGAAAAGAATGCAGATAGGCGCAGTGAAATTATGCCAACAAACCATACTGTTGTAGGGATTATCTGATAACGTATATACACAACACAGATTTAGATAGTTTTTGGACTAGATGCCAAATACTCAGTGCCAAAGGTAAGTGCAGGAGATAATCTTTGATGCTGAGATTTCTTTGCAGACACTCAGCACCCTGAATAGGAACAAGCAGACATGCAGTACCTTCTGTCAGCTCGCTTCCATTCTCTTCCTCACACTTTAACCACTGTTAAAGGTTGTAATTGTATCATTGACATGTAAACATGTCCAGATTAAAAAGGACTGGCTTCGATAGCCTGACATATGGGAAAGAGCTAAAAGAATTGAAGAACTGAGTTTGCTAATTAAAAAAACAAAGGCTGACAAAGGACATGGTAATACTCTGTCCTCAATGATTGTTACAAATATGGCAATGATCAGGAGATCTGCAGGTGTCCTGTGGCAGTAGGGAAATAAACAAAGACAGATATTAGGAAAACAGCTCCAGCAGTAAAAGAGTTAGCTCCAGGGAGAGAGATTCTATCAATTTTTTGTGTTTCACTTCAGAGGGTATCCCTATCCAAATATGTATCAAACAGTGATAGACGAGGTAGCCTTGGCCCTGCTTCAGGAAAAGAGGACCAGCCCAGGTGAACCTACAAGGTGTTGTATGGAATCTGGACTTGCTGCTGCATGATGCCCATGTTTACGCTGCAAGGCGGTAAACAGAATAATCAAGGCACATCAATTATCTGACAAAGGAACAACTAACCAGCCTCCCTGCCAGCCTTGACTGTCAGGACAAGAAGTGATAGAGAAATTTTTATACTGTGCACCAGGCCAAGTGGTAGGTTGCCAGGTAGGATCCACGGGTGCTGACAGGCCTCGTTGCCTCCACAGCAATTGCAAACCTCCTTCCTTGACACATATGAAATAAGGCTGTAAGTTCAGTGGAAAATTTGCCATCTTTTCCTTCCAAACACATACAGCATCCAAGTAACAACGTTTAGATCTATACCTAGTGCATCTATGTACTATCCTAATATTTTTTAAATCATCAAAAGACAACAATACAAAAAGCAACACAAGACAATGCAGAGGCACACACAAGACAGCTATGCTGCAATTTCTCCTCCCCACCCCAAATCCTTTATGAAGCAACAGGGGATAAATTATGTTACCTAACTGACACTACGGGCACATGTAGTTATTCTTGAAAGATCTGTGCACGGTAACAGAAGCAAAGAGATCATTAGATCACCCTTATATATGTTATCTTTTGGCAAACCACAGATTTTTGTAGACATACCCATTTCTAGACTTTTCATAAGCATTACCAGTGTTTCACTACTGGCAGGGAGTCAGACAGCGGGAACCAAAAAGTCACACATTGGAATGACAGGAGATTACCATGAGATCCGATTTCCTTCTTTCCACCTCAGCCTCTCTTCCTGAAATTTGTGGTGCAATCTCACATCTATCATTTGGGAATAAGGTTTAGAAAGATACTCCATTTCCATTTAAAAATCAGCTAACAGCAAATTAGCTCTTCGCCAAAAGTGGACACTGTTGAGGCAGACATGGAGGGTATGTAGAACTGCTGGGCATTTAAAGAAACTGTTATTAGAGGGAAACATCAGGGAAACCAAGCTAGAACCAATGCGTAGAACTGCCTCAGATTTCAAAGAAAATAGCGGTGGGAACAAAATCCATAGCAGAAGTAGCTGAGTCATCAAATTAACACTCACAAGTTTTCTTTCTTGGGAGAATGTTGAACTTTCCTCAAATAAAGGAATAAAAACAAAATTGTTTTTCAAGTTTAGCTAAAGCTAGTGTATTTTTTCTTTTGAACATCAGTATTTTGAGTCAAGAATGCCACTGATGACCTTTATACAAAAAGGTACTTACAGTATTTTCCCCCCTTTCTCCTCCAGGATTTTTCTGAAAAAGAAGCAGCAATGCTTCATGTGATGTGCAGCCTTGTGGAGAAACTGAGGTGAAGCTGCAGCACTGATGGTGCACTGCAGTGGTATTTCTGATTTGAATTTTTCAATTTAGACCTAGAATTTTGAAATCAATGCTTTTCTGTTGAATAAATAAACTTTATGGCAGGGACATCTCTCCTACATATCTTTCCTTCCTAGTGAAATTTGGAACTGAATGGGAAGCTGCCAACAAAATGAAGCTCAATATGATAATGAGAACAAGGTCAGCTGACTGGCACGAGGCGTCCTTCTTTTTGGTATAAACCAAAACCAGAAAGAATTTGCAAATATGATGAGTGAGGTTAAGTATATGCCAAGGTCTCACTTACAGGAAGTAGTTAGCACTGATAATCCACAGAGCTGGTCATAGATCCTGTATGCTTAAACAGATAGTTGTAAATGTTCTTTGTTTTTTATGGGAGGGGTGGAAGACTTATGTCTGAGGAAACAGCGTGGAAATAATAAGGGTTATCATTGTAACTAAGTAACAAAATTAGGGTACAATAAGCCACCTCGTTGCCTCACTAGAAGGCTCCCTCATGTGATAGTTTGTTCTAACTAATATGAAAATAAAGACACCACTCTCAATGCTGATCAGCTAGTTTGATGAGAGTACTTCCGTAACATACTGGGACAACTAGCTGTAAGCAAGGGTGTTTCCTCCACAACATAAGCAGGTCTTTGTGTGTCTGAGAATTTGGCCCACAGTCTGTAAATGTCAGTCACCATTTTATGAACTAAATTTTGGACCTACAAGGTGTAACATACATGGAGCGTAGAGTTTGATTGTTTTGTTTTATTTGATAGAGACTTCGTTCAGTCTACATTAAAAGCTTAGATTACAGTAATTGTTCATCCTGACATAAATGTTGTGATTTGGATGTATTCCCAACGTGTGCTTTGCTTCTGGCAGTCAAGTCTTCAGATTTTGTATCTGCCTTTTCCACAAAGATGCCATCATCAGCTTTATGCACATCCAAGTAAACCACAGAAAAAGACACAGCCTCCAGACTGTTTTTTTTATCATAAGATTAAAATTAATCCTATTTTCACAGTGAAATTAAATGAGCTGACACTTCTGCCTGAAATCCTTGATGACTCTGAAATTGATCTAGGAGTCTACAGGAACTTTCCTGTGAGTAAGAAAGAATGAAACCATCAAGAAAAATTATCTGACTTGCAAAGAACATTTACAACCATGACAGCTCTTGTCTAGGTTTCATCCCTTAACTGAAAGGGAATGCTTTAAAGAAAGGTATAAAAACT